TTATATATAGCTTCTGACCCTCTAATTCCTGGAACAAGCAAACAGGCTGATATACAGGGTAAATTATATGACCCGAAATTAATATGAATTAGAAAATAAATGAAGAAGCTATATTGATATTTCAAAATATATATTTTCATTAATTAATATTTTTCAGAAATGATTCTAAAATGATGAATTATGATAATTATGAAATATAGGAATTAGGCTATCAATATTAATAATAGAAAAGATTTATTTGAGAAATTCATAATAAGAAATCCGATGAATGAATAAACTATACGTAATGAAATCTTTAATACCATATATAATATATAGATTCTGAATATTTTCGATTTCTGCTCCGGATTCCAGCCTAGATCTTTATATTCTGCCGAGCCATTACGCGGGCATCCTAGACGAGATAAATTCCTTGATATTTTTAGATCATACGAATTTTTAATCGCGCGATCTCTTGGTCGTGATAGCACCGTCGAGAGATCAAATATCTCTTTGAGAATATCTACCCGGCAATTCGGAGAAATATAATATCTCCGTCGACAAATATATTTAGTTTAGAAAGTCTAAAAGATTTTCGCTTTCTATCTCGGAATTTTCTATTCCTCCGAATGGTCGCGCAGACAAGAAGAGGAATTTAGATAATAGAATTCGAAATTATTAATATCAATATATATTTAATTCGCAAAATATAATATCATATTAAAATGAAAAATGATTTGATATCTATAATAAATAGAAGATGAAGAGAAATTGATTGATTTTTATAATTGAATAATTCAGAAAGATTTTTCGACTCTCAAAATCTAAAATATGATTAAATAAATAAATCTATTAGATAGAGAGATCGTATCATTTGAAAATATATCTCCTAGAATATATCAGATATCATCGATATAATAATTCTTTATAATTCTCAAATATCTCGTATTGAATAGATGAAGAAATTATTGATTTCAAGAAATCTTCCATATTCTAATTAGCATAAATCGTCCGCGATATTTTATATGCAAAATAATAAAATCAAATAAATATCTAAAGAATATATCTAAAGATATCGTTTTAGGATATTGATAGAAAATTATATATCTCAATAAATTATCTCCAATCAAATTATTCGAGAAGATATCCATCAATCTCCCATTGATCTAAGCATAATCTAGGTATACAGAATAATGCTCCCGCATACAATATGAATTCCTAAATACGTATAAATAATATGATAGAAATCATGAAATTCAAAATTAGATTGATCAGAATAAAGAAAAGAATCTAAATCAAGATTAAAAAGATATATATAGAAAAGAAAATAGATCTCATTATTAAATCAACGCATAATATCGACGTTCTCCCCTATCACGAATATAATCGGTCGAATGAGATTCAAGAGATATATGGTAGTTTCCCTAAATTACTGTTCCCAAAATAGGAGAAATTTATATAGGGCCTCGTATTATAATGGGAACCCAAATATAGGACCCCGAATTATAGGGAATTTAGACCAATACCCATATGAAGAAATCAATATATATATATTTAAGATGAACGTATCAGAGATAAGAATCAGGTAATTTTAATATTCGCAATATAAAAATATGAAATTAATCCTATAATGACCTCATATCTGATATATGAATAAATTAAATAAATAATTCCAAAGAGACGAAAGACATCAATAAATATCCAACCAATATATTCCGAAATCCAATCCGAATCTTGCAAAAAACGACAAATTCAGATATCCCATATAAAATAACGATATTTATTATGAAGATGATATCTTCTATAATAGGAAGTTTGAAAATCTATATCCTCATCAATAACCAATAATCCCATCTAATAGAAGAGAGAAAAGAGGATCGCGCGACTTTAAAAAATAGAATTCATCGACAAATTCTATAGATTCAAGAAATGACGGATAATAATGACAATTCATAAATATCCATATAATTCGTCATCAATATAATTAATGATATTAAAATCAATTTATAGATTCTTCTTTATTAACTTCATTCGGAAAATCCAAATATGAATTCTAAATTCAAAAGAAAAGAAGAAATTTCATCATCCTTCATTATCGGATTTTTAGATACTAAAAAAATTGAATTAATATAAATGAGATATATAATATAAATCTAAGAAAATTTGCAATTAATAATTTATAATCCAGAATTTTGCGAAAATTCTAGAATTCTTAATCTAAATCCAGAATAATATGATAATATTTGAGATAGAAGAATAAAAAATAATATGAGAAGAAGATGAATAAAATTTAAATCTATTCATATTTATTTTCCTGAAGAAATGACGAATTATGAAATCCGCCGACCTTAGGGGGGGCGTATTGGATAGTTTCAGTAACGGAGAGGGGGAAAACCCTCTTCCTTTCTCCCTTACAGCCTAGAAACGCGGGGGGGGGGATAGGGGATATCCCGTGTCCGCTTCCCTCCAGGCCCCCGCATCTGCGGCAGCCGTTTCAGCTCCCTTCGCCAGCCCCCCACCAGGAGACT